CTTAAACCAAAATTATCCCTTGATATTTTCTTAAAACTATACAGTAGTTTAGCTTAACTAATAAAACCGGTCTGACTTATCACACTCTTTAAGAACTATCTCTAAGGATCAAAGTAACAACAGCAAGTTGAACTATTTGACAGAAATGGAAGGGGGCAGAGTTTTACTCTGCTATAGTTTATGCAAATAGGGAAAAACAGCTCAGAAAAGATGAACATGGTCACACAACTTGAAGAATGCGATCAATGACAATGAATTGAACATGAGGAAATGGTTGGTGTGTGTTTTGTTGTGTACAGTCTCAGCAACAACAAAAGATGAAGTGACAGGTGCATTTAGCAGTCTTGATTAAAAGGTAAAAACTGTAATTTTACTGAAATAATTTTGTTAAAAGATGAGACTATGTTAACACTGCATTTTTGTTCCTGTCAAGTTTTAATCACAAGTAGCTCTAAATGTAGTAAAGCTATTTCTATATCACACATCTTAAACGATTAAGAATAGTCATACCATTCCTAATAGTAAAGCAATGATCACTGTTTGTTTCACAATTGCATCTCCATTTTGTTATGAACAGAGAGCCACTACTGACATGGATGGCTAAGAGACATTACATTTAAACACACAGGAAAATCCACTTACTGGCTTCTTTTCAGAGTAGGCCCAGTCAGTATATAACTCTGGCTGCCTGGGACTGAGTTGACAATTTGAAGAATTCTGTTATATAAATCCCCAGACTTTGAAACTATTAGCTTAGACATTTAAAACATAATAAAAAGCAGGTGGGCTGGCACTTTGGGCTACTGACCACAAAGTCAGCAGTTTGAAACCACCAGCAGCTCCACAGGAGACAGATTAGGCTGTCTACTACCTATCAACATATTTCATATTTAAAATATTTTGTTTAAGAAAATGTTCTCATCTCAGGGGACATCTAAGTCAACTGGCAAAACAATGCAAAATACTCTACTTAGCCAATTTACAGAGCAGGGTAGGACTGCTCCTGTGGGTTTCTGAGTCTGTAACTTGTTATGAGTAGAAAACCTTGTTTTCTCCTGCACAGCACTTGGTGGTTTCACCCGGTTCATCTTGCAGTTAGTCGTCTAATGCATAACAATTACACCACATGAGTCTGAATTAACTCAAGGGCAGTGAGTTTAATTTTCAGTTTGGAGTCTGGTAAGTAGCATCTGGGGGTCTTAAAAGCTTGGGAGTGGCCATTTAATGAACTACTGGTCTCTTCCTGCCTGAAGCAAAGAACAAAGAAAAACAAAAACTCAAGGAACAAATTAGTCCATCCTCTAAACTGAGACTAGAGGAACTAGATGGTACCCAGCTACTACTACCAACCACTCTGACCAAGACAACAAAGCTCCCAGTTAGAATGAGTTAGAGAGAAAAGAAAAGACAAACCTCAAAGCCAAAAAAGACTAGACTTACTAGGAGAAAAACTAGAATTACCCCAAGACTACTGCCCTCAGAAAACTTTCTAAATTAAATCTGAAAACATTCCAAGAGGCTATCTTCCAAATAATAGATGGGATTATAAAACAAGTATCAGTGAAAGCGCTTCTCAGCACATCCACACAGATAAACCAGAGGATTGGAAAGTCAGACAATTGGAAACGTCAAACCCAGGAAGGAAATAGGAAGAGTGCTAACACATAGTGAGAGTATAACCAATGTCACAGAACTTTCACCTTAAGCACAGAAATTGGAAAAAAAAAGGATTTAATAAAAAGAAAATGTTTTCATGACAGAGTGGCTAATTTATCATACAATATCTATGGCTACTTAATGAAAAGACTCCATATCAGTTTATAATAGAAAATAACTTTCATTATGTTAAAAAAATTGCTCTTCAATGATGTTTGGATTTGTAAGAATTAAACGTTAAGTCTGTACAACAATTTCTTTTTTCACCAACGTCTTTCAATATCACTTTAAACCCACACATTAAGAACGCCCCTTTTCTAAATGCTTCCTGTACAATTATTAAAAGCTAACCCTCTGTCACATCTTAGCTAAGCAAGCACCTGTGAGAAATTCCTATCTACTGAATTACAGTATAAGCACATTAAAGTCATTGATACACTGAAAATGTAACAGAAACAACCCACTAAATTGCTTTAAATTTATTATTCCCAAGTTAAAGCACTACATCCTTCAGTGTTGGACGCTCTTACCTATCAATTAAAGCAATAATTATGTTTTTCACGTTTACATTTTGGTGTAACTCAGCACAAGCTCGAAGAAAAGGATTCAAAGTCTGAAGGTGAAATTCATCAGGGAAAACCTGAAATTAAATAATAATAGGTTGATTCAAGCAAAAGTACTTCATATAATGTACTGAACTCACGGTACTTAAAATTCTTATGAAAGAAATCACTTTGAATCTTATATAGCTATAGTTGAGCCTCATTATTCAGATTCTATATTTGAAAACTCATTTGTTTGCTAAAATTAATTGGTACTCCCGAAATTAACACTCTTGGCACTTTTGTGGTCATCTGTAGATACCCACGGGGCTTGAGTCCTACATGTTTCCAGCTGAGGGCAAACAAAGAGATACATATACCTTTTGTTTTAGCCCTCCTACTGTAAACAAGTGTCCTCTTAACTCTCTATTTCGTGCCTTATTCTTAGCAATTTCATGTTTTTTCTGTTAGTAGTGGCAGCAATTTTGATGTCTAAAACAGCCGCCATGCATTAGGCTCAAGTACTGGCTAAAATTCCTATGTGTATGTAGGCTATGATGTGTCTAACAGGGAATATTCTTGTGTTAGACAGACTTTAGTCAGGCATTAGTCACAGTGCTGTTGGCCATGAGTTCAACATTAACGAATCAACAAGGTATATCTGAAACACAGTGTCCTAGAACAGAAACAAATATAAAGCTGGATAAAGTATTGAACAGTTGTTGAAAATATATGTGGAGGAATCTAACCCTATATATTCCCTGGGTGAAACGGGTCAGTGTTCATCAAAACTACTATGAATACTAAGACTCAATTGCACATTACTCTTGAGCTTCATTAACCTAACTCTACATGAAAATAGTCCACTATTACTTACCATTAAACTAAAGCTAATGAGACCTAGGAAAACTCAAGAGTCCACCCCCCACCCCCACCCCCACCTTCCTACATTTGGGGGGGAAAATACATCAACACTAAATCATTATTTGGAGAAAGTCAGTCCTTTTTTCAGGAAAATACATTTTCTATTCTAACAAGATTTCTTTAACACATTGATAAAGAGCAAAAAGTAAAAGTACCTTTGGGAATGAGATAAATGTTCCCACCTACCTGAATAATACACTCCATGAGATATTCTTGAGCCAAAGCATCCCGACAATTCACAACTTGCTCCAAAATGCCAGTCAAAACAATCTAAAAGGAAAAAAAATTAAATTATTTTTTAAAGCCTACAGTACTCAACAACACGTTCAAATTAGTGAAAATTATTCTTTTTCTCCCATACTTCACTACTAGATAAAATTTTCACAGACGTTTCAAACCAAAATCTGGGGTTTCTGTTTCAAGTCATTTAGGAAGAAGTTCATCTTATCAATTATTTTCTTTTATAGTTCAAGTTTACAAGGATAAATCAAAAAGTACTGCTATAAAATCATAAACCTGTATTAAACAAAAATATCAAAACGTGAAGCTATTATTTAGTTATATATCTTCCATCTAGGTCTATATATTTCTGAAGGCAGCGTTTCCATCACTAACTGTTCCCTAAAGAATCCTCTGGTCCTGTGGTGAAGACAGCAAATGGTGCCCAGTTACCAAGTGGAATAGAGTCTGGGGTCTGAAAGGCTTGTATTCTAATAAGCAACCATCCCAGTCATGTGTCAACTAAGTCCATGTTAAAGAAGCACACCAGCCTGTGTGATTCAAGATGATGACAACAAAATTCAAGTATGATGAAGGGCAAAGTATCAGAGCTTAAATTGTGAACACCAATTTATAAAAGGGTGTGGAGGGCAGTGAGAGCTCAAGATCCATCTGCAGACTATCTAGTCAGATTACCAACAAATGCAGAGCTGTAAAGAGCCCCCAATAAAATGATTTATTTTTAAAAAAAATAAGATTAAGCCTCTGGCAGATCCCACCTACACAGGCTTCGAAGTATTCAAACACCTTTACTGTCAGAGAGAGATTATTATAAACTTGATTATGGTGGATCGAACCATGGTATAATATGATACTTGGTCAGTCAACCTCCCTAATTTGCTGTAGGGTCAAGTATTTCTTGCTTGTTCCATGAAGAACTTTCTCTGGTTTTTTAAATATTGATGGTGGTCTTTTATTTCTCTTTATTTTTTAATATTGTCATTTTTCTTTTTGTCATTTTGTTCTTAACTGTTTCTTTGGGTTTCCCAGTTTGTGAAGTATAGAAGGAACAGATGCATATGAGATAATAACTGATACAATGGTTTATACAGGATGTGGGGTGGGAGATAAGAGAGGGTGAGGAGATTTGGGGACAAACAATGAATGTGGGAAGAGTAACAGGAATAGATTGTGATTATACAACTCATTTTAAAAGTGATTTAACCATAGAAGTATAATGATATGTGAATACTGTATCAAGAAAACCACAAAAAGAAAAAAGAACAAATGACCAATGGTTACCACAGGAGAAAGGGAAAGAGTTGTGTAGGGGCATTGAATGGTACAGTGGTTTGGAAAAGGATATCAATAACGGTTGTACGACATGATGAGTATAATCTATGACAGGATTCTATAAGTAGAAGTTGTGCAAGTGGAGAATGCTGTTGTGTATATTTCTGCCACAATTGAAAAAAAATAATTACCTAAATAATAATGAGTACAAGGAAGAAGACAATGTCCTAGAATTGATTGTGGTGATGATTGTACAACTCTTCTTGATATGATTATATTATTCAATTGTATGACATATGGATGAAGTGCCAATAAAATTGTTTAAAAAAAAAAAGAATTCTGTGCTTTTTAAAAAGTCAAAATGGCAGCTTTGCGCAGTGGCAGTATCGTAGCCAGTGAGGTTTATCCAAGGTGTGATTATTGCCAATCGAAAAGTCAAAATAGGAATTTGGAGGTCCTCAAGGGGCTCAAATTATGTTCCTTTGAAATGTTGAGTTTGAGGAATAAAAGGAAATCTGAAGGGGCAAGATGAAGGCTGTATAATGGAATGGATAAAACTTTTCCAATGGGGGAAAAAAGGATACTTGGGAGAGTGTTAAGACACTATGGCTGTCTTTTGCATGTAACAAAGCCATGACTCCTTAGTGGCTTCAGAGTACTCTTTAGTCTTTCACCTCCAAAGATAGCTCCCAATAAACTACCATATATACTTGAGTATAAGCCGAGGGTTTTGTTTGTTTGTTTTACATTTTTTAAAAATAATTTTATTAGGGACTCGTACAACTCTTATCACAATCCATACACACATCAATTGTGTAAAGCGCATTTGTACATCATTCTCAAAACATTTTCTCTCCACTTAAACCCCCGGCATTAGATCCTCATTTTTCCCCTCCCTCCCCGCTCCCCCCTCCCTCATGAGCCCTTAATAGTTTATAAATTGTTATTTTGTCATATCTTGCCCTGTCCAACGTCTCCCTTCATCCACTTTTCTGTAGTCCGTCTCCCAGGGAGCAGGTCACATATACTGTAGTTCCTTGTAATCGGTTCCCTCTTTCCTACCCACTCTCCCTCTTTCGTCCCTGTTTCGCCACTCACACTACTGGTCCTGTAGGGCTCATCTGCCTGAAAACTGTATTTTCAGTTCCTATCTGTACCAGTGTACATCCTCTGGTCCAGCCAGACTTGCAAGGTCGAATTCAAGTCATGGTAGTGGGAGCGGGGAGGAAACATTTAGGAACTAGAGGAAAGTTGTATGTCTCATCGCTGTTACATCGCACCCTGACTGGCTCATCTCCTCCCCGAGACCCCTCTGCAAGGGGATCTCCAGTGGCCTACTAATGGGCTTTGGGTCTCCACTCCGCACTCCCCCCATCATTCACTATGGTAAGATTTTTTGTTCTGATGATGCCTTGTACCTGATCCCTTCGACACCTCGCGGTTGCATAATAAGCCGAGTTTTTCAGCACATTTTAAAGCAGTTTTTGTGGTAAAATTAGGTGCCTTGGCTGATATTCGGTCGGCTTATACTCAAGGATATTCTGTATGCCTTCTGGTATACACGCATGCACACACACAAACAGACACACACACACACACACACACACACACACACACACGCAAAGAATCCTCATAGGACAACTCTTGTGACCTTTAAGGATGAGCAGATGCACTGTCATGATGGAAACAAGTTCCTCAGCACAACTTACCTGACCTTTATCTTACTAACGCAGTTTTCAATTGTCTTAAAGCTTCTTTCTAATAAGCCTGTGACTGTCTGTGCTCTATATCCTTCAAGAAAATCGATCAAGTTTATCCCTTACAAATAAAAAACCTGCCACTATAACCTCAGCTGACCTCCCTGCCTTGAATGTGTATCAAGGTGCATCCCTGTGGGAGCCACTATTTCGACTCGGCCTTTTTTGGAAGGCACCTTCATAGGACTAAGACAAGTGAATTGCTGAGAGAACTTGTCTGCAGCCACCTACTGACCACAGAAACAAGTTTCAATACATCTTACTTTGAATAAACCATGTACATACGAACTGGAACCATAGGAGCAATGCTTTTTTTTCATCCAGAACATTTTCTTCTCATCCTCATTGCTGTTAGCTCCCCACCTCTCTGCATTCTCCCCTGCCATGCCCCTAGGCAAGTATCAATCGTTATGTCTCTATAGATATACCTATCTTGAGTTTCATGTACAGAAAATTATACAAAACCCAGGAAGCAAACAAACTAAAAACCAACAATGACTAGATAAAACATAGAAAAACCTTAATCAAAAGGCAGAAAACATTACAAACAGAAATGACTTTAGAACATATCAAAAGGGAGATAAAATGATAAGGGATTACATTTTAACCTAACTATAGCTGCAACCAATCGATTTTACAATGCTCCCCGACACGATCACTGAAGAGAAAATGGATTCATATGCTAATGTGGTGAAAAAAAACTGATGGTGTCCAGCTATTACAAGACATAGCATTTGGGGTCTTAAAGGCTTCCAGATAAACAAGCGGCGACCTCACTGGGAAGCAACAAAGCCCACATGGAAGAAGCACACCAGTCTGTGATCATGAGGTGTCAACAGGATTAGGCATCAGAAGACTCAATCATATCGATGCAAATGAGGGAGGGCGGAGTGGAGACTCAAAGCCCATCTGTAGACAATCGGACATCCCCTCACAGAAGGGTCACAAGGAAGAGATGAGCCAGCCAGGGCAGGGTATAGCACAGACAAAACACACAACATTCCTCTACATTCTTTAATGCTTCCTCCCCCCACTATCATGACCCCAATTCCACTTTACAAATCTGGCTAGACTGGAGCATGTACACTGGAATAGACAAACGGAATCGAAGACAGATATAAATCCCTCAGGTACAGTAATGGGGGTAGGAGAAAGGTAGGGGGAGAAAGGGGGAACCGGGCCTGTCTGGATAGGACAGGCTGGATGAACAATCTGGAGGAGAAAACAACGGGACTGACAGTTCCGGGGGGACATGGGAGAGGGGGAGG